TAATTTATGCTAGAATCATGCTAACAACATGCTAATTCATGCTAAAATCATGCTAACAACTTGGTAATTCACGCTAGAATCATGCTAACAACATGCTAATTCAAGTTAGAATCATGCTAATACCATGCTAATCTATCTATCTATCTATCTATCTATCTATCTATCTATCTATCTATCTATCTATCTATCTATCTATATCTATCTATCTATCAATCTTTTCATACTTTTTAAAACTGTTTAAACTAAATTAACTATTACCGTCAGGCTTTCACAAGCCAGCCTCAAAGTTTGTTCTCAAACTTTAAGAATCTAGTTATTATGTAAACTACATTTATTATCATTCATTATTATGTAGACACTTATTTAATTATATTGTTTATGATTGTTATGTAAACCCTTTATTATATTATGTACATTATTATTATGTAAACATTTATAATGTAAACATGTAATGTAATGCGCATATTAGCACACAGTTCTCATCAAGCTGCATGCAGATCATTTGATTAATGTTTTCCTCAGGCTGATATGGAGGTCGTCAACACACTTTAAGGATATGCAAATGAGCTTTAATGGGTTGGTGTTTCTGGGAGTTCTCCGTGTTTAGCTCCTCGTGTTTGTGAGGAATTTTCCCATCATTCAGTGCATCTGTCCTCCTTTACTGTGACTCACTTTGGCCTAGTTTTGTTTTTTATCATAATAGTGAGTGCTTTCCTGATCTGTGCAAGACGTTTGGGGGGTTTCTGTGCTCATCTGATGAATACATGAATGAATGAATGCATCACCTGCTTTTTAGATTGGATTGAATAACCTGTGGTCAGCACTGTGGCCTCACAGCAAGAAGGTCACTGGTTTGAGTCCCGGCTGGGTCAGTTGGTGTTTCTGTGTGGAGTTTGCATGTTCTCCCCGTGTTGGTGTGGGTTTCCTCCGGGTGCTCCGGTTTCCCCCACAGTCCAAACACATGCGCTATAGGGGAACTGATCAACTAAATTGGCTGTAGTGTGTGTGTGAATGAGTGTGTATGGATGTTTCCCAGTACTGGGTTGCGGCTGGAAGGGTATCTAATGCATTATTCATATGCTGGAATAGTTGGTGGTTCATTCCGCTGAGGTGACCCCTGATAAATATTTGAGTAAGCTGAAGTAAAATGAATAATCTGTGCTGTAGTGAGATATCAAGATCCAAATTGATGCATTGATCCTCTGATTTACTTATTAGGTGTAGTTTATTTATAAACTAATTTTGAGAGGAGCAGATGATTATGATTGAACACGGCTGGTCCCGCATTAACTTACGCATGATGCACCAATCATATAATCCTAACTCACTGTAAACAACCAGAGTTTCTTCCTACAGTTATCTTCACCTTGAAGAATCCGCCTTCCACCTCTACTCCTTCACCTTTCCCTCTATAGGGCGGCACAGTGGTTAGCACTGCTGCCTCAGAGCAAGAATGTCACTGGTTCAAATCCTTGACAGGACCATGTTCTCCCCATGCTTGCATAAGTTTCCCAGCGGGTGTTAAAGATGAAAGTGATGAGGGTTGGGGAGTCGCGGAAGAAAATTAAGAGCGGGGCAGGGGTGTGTGTGTGAGGAGGGGGGTCATTAAAAGGAGGTGCCGGATCATATTTCCGGTTCCAAATTAAGCTTGGTCATTAGTGAATTGATCAATCTAAATGAACAATATAATCGAATTCTCAACCAGGAGTATATCTACATAGCAAATTATAATCTGTCATTAGCTGTAAACAAGGGGGGGGGGGTGTTCTCAACACCTACCATAGCTCAAACTCCCCTCTCGCCCTGCAAATGGGAGGGAGCCCCGGGCTCGAGGATCTAACAGTACGAGTTCAGGGCTCTCTCCCGGTACAGCATGCCAAACACACTTTATAATCAATCATCAGCTAAGTGTGAACTCTTATGATTTATTAATCCCCTTAATTGTTGCCTCCACTTTTGCAACACAGACTTAAACATGTTCAGCTGAAATGAAGCCAATCTTGATTTAGGATTTAAATGCAAAAAGTGATGTAATGTGTGTATTTATATAGTGTGTTTGGCCATACACCCTAAGTGCTTCACGATCCCGAGAGCGTTCTCTCTACACCACCCGTGTAAATTTAAGCATCCCGGTGGCAGGATGATGCAGTTAATGTTATGTTGTTATACATTAGTTATTGTTGTTATTATTAGTGTTTATACTGTGATCAGTAGAGAGACGCTGTACGAGTTTACATATGCTGTTTATTTGAAAACAAATGTAAAATGAGCGTTTGTCTATATATAAAATGTGTTTATATATATTTTCATATAATGTCTCCCTCTTGTGTCTGTATAAGGTTCCTGTAGTTGGTCGTTTGACATCTCAGTCTGTCTGTTTATCTTTAACTGGGCAATTCTTGAGCAGAATAAGTCACAATGTGGACCAGAGTTTGACTTTTAATGGTCTTTTAATAGTCTCTGAATGATGCTTACCCAGATCCTCCAACATGTAGGCCAGACAGCAGACATATGAGCTGAAGGACACACACACACACACACACACACACACACACACACACACACACACACACACACACACACACAGAGAGAGAGAGAGAGAGAGAGAAACCAGCACACTTTTTCCTCATTCTAAAAAAAAATTCTGTAAACATGGAGGGATTAAAAAATAAACTGCGTACACATTTAGACAAAAATATACAAATACAAAACACACACACACACACACACACACACACAGTGCTGAGCATAAATGTAACTTCTTTAAAGACGTTAAACTCTTTTTTAATGCATATAGCTGCTTAATGTAATAATGTTCCATAATAATTGGCTTTATTTCTGTGTAAATAAATGTTCTGTTCTTTGATTTGCTACTTTTAGAATCTGATTGGCTGATGGAGAGTATTTTCTGTGCACTGATTGGCTGTAGTAGAGGATGTTCTGTCCTCTGATTGGCTGCAGTAGAGGATGTTCTGTTCTCTGATTGGCTGCAGTAGAGGATGTTCTGCATTCTGATTGGCTGCAGTAGAAGATGTTCTGCACTCTGATTGGCTGCAGTAGATGTTCTGTTCTCTGATTGGCTACTGTAGAGGATGTTCTGTCCTCTGATTGGCTGCAGTAGAGGATGTTTGTCTGCTCTGTTCTCACTCTGGTTTAGTGCTGCTTTAATCAGATTGTTGTGCAGTGTCAGAGGTTGTGTGTAGGAGCAGTGTAAGTCCGCTCAGCTCACAGTAAACCTGCTGATCTGACACATGCAGCGCTTAAACACATGCGCTGTAGGGGAATTGATGAACTAAACTGGCCGGAGTGTATGAGTGTGTTTGGGTGTTTCCCAGGTACTAGGTTGCCTCTGGAAGGGCATCCGCTGTGTAACACAAATGCTGGAATAGTTGGCAGTTCATTCCGCTGTAGCGACCCGCTGTGGTGTTTGGGTCAGTGATGCTGGGAATGCTGGGAGTTTCCACATCTCTATCAACATTCCAGAGCGCAAATATCTGTGTTACGCACAACACCACAACACTGCACTGGCCTTGGTTCCCACAGCTGTGTGTGTGTGTGTGTGTGTGTGTGTGTGTGTGTGTGTGTGTGTGTGTGTGTGTGTGTGTGTGTGTGTGTGTGTGTGTGTGTGTGTGAGAGAGAAAGTATGTGTGTTTAAGAGTGTCTGCGACTGTTTGTGCATGAGAAAGTGTTTGATCATCTGTGAGAGTGTGTGTTGAGCATGCCTGATAGAGCAGTAGTCATGTGTTTGCTGCACAGTATGCGCAGATGATCTGCATCTGGATCTGCTCATGAGTGACTGATGTTCTACACACACACACACACACACACACACACACAGAAATGTGGACTCAAACACTGGAATGGGAGCATATTGTTCTTTTTAATGATGCTTTATTTACATTTGCTATACATCTCTGTGTTGTGTCTAAAATATCAGCCCATTTGATGCTGTCTAGATAGTGAGCACCCTACAGTAGGTTTGTAGCAGACCCTTCTCAGACTGTTTGCTGTGTTTACTCTGAATTATAGCTCACATTATGACAGTAAACAAATGAAAACTGTGATGTGAAATGCTCAGATCTGATTATTGGGTAAACGGAAGAGAATCGAGTATGAGAGAGTCAAAGAAAGCAGACGTTCTGCATTACAGCTGCATCTATTTTAGGGCATCTTTCATCAAATGCAAAGTCCATTTCTAATAGAGCATCAAACTTATATATTTATTGCGATGGTGATTTTTGAAAGTGTTACAGCGCTTTGTAAACGTTTATTACGAGTCTCCCTATACAGGTTGATAGAGCGCTTGGATCTGGAAGCCTCTTCGTGTGACGTCACACTTAACAAGCTGATTAATCAGGGGTCGTCACAGCAGGATGAACCACCAACTATTCCAGCATATGTTTTACACAGTTGATTTCATTACAGCTGCCACCCAGCACTGGGAAACACCCATACACACTAATTTCTCACACACACACACACACTACAGCCAGTTTAGTTGATCAGTTCCCCTATAGCGCATGTGTTTGGGCTGTGGGGGAAACCGGAGCACCCGGAGGAAACCCATGCCAACATGGGGAGAACATGCAAACTCCACACAGAAACACCACTGACCCAGCCGGGATTTGAAGCGGAGACCTTCTTGCTACGAGGCAATAATGTGACACAGTGAGCCACCCAGACCAAAAATAAATAAATAATAAATACAACTTACATTAAAATGCTCAATCTATTTCTGTAAATATGCCTACACTCTTTTATTTAGCTTTTAACTGTATTTAATTTTAATATTATTTAACATTTTATTCTGTTTTGTTTGTATTATTCGCATTATTTTTTTTCCTCACATGCAAAGTTCTCCGTTCACCTACATTATCTCGTTTGGCAGTAATATGGCAGGAAAAGAGAAAGGTGCAGGAGTGTTTTTAACTGTATGAACTGTCTGCAGAGCATCTGAATGAGGGTATGTAAATGTGTGTGTGTAAATGTGTGTGTTTCAG